AGAGCATTGGATGTTCGCAGGCAAACTGAGCTCACTGCTGTGGTCGGATCCTGTTCAGCACAGAGATGCTGATTACACTGTGGTTCAGTCCAGAGCTGATTTAAATGTATGGCTTTTTTTGTCCTGAAATATTCATATCCTGTCAGTTTTGTCTTCTCCACATCAGATAAAGATAAGTGCATCACCTCATGAAAATGAGGCTCTGACTAAAGCACTGACCTAATTTAAACAACCGCGCTCCTTTTTCTTTTTCCTCCTGTCATTGCGCTAGCACGGTTTTGCTCCAGCTCTCTCTCCCATCTTTCTTCCTGCTGCCTGACTTCCTCCCTCCCTCCCTCCTTCCCGTCCCTCCCTCCTTCGCTCACTGAATCACCACAGTGATGTGTGTGCCAAACCATCTCTACCCGACTCCTCCACAAACCACACAAACCTCTCCATATCAATAGTTTTCACGTACAAATGCACAAATTACAGATATTTGTAAATGTCTGTTAGGAAGTACACAACTGTCTTCTGGTAAATAAATGCAATAAACAGCATGGTATTTTTCCCCATCCAATCACAGACCTCCTTCCATTTCACTACTCTTTTTGCAACACCCTCCCTGCTGTGTTTGGGACACAGAGCTTCCTCCATGAAAGCCTGCTTGCTCAGTTATTAAGTCACTAAAAAAACTGTCATAAGTCCAACACACTGTTTCATACTCTACAGAAAAATCCTAATTTCATGGCTTTTGTCAACAACCTTATATCAGGAATCATGCAGCTCATGTCCAGCCAGTGAGAATTGATAACGACGATGCTATTTCAGGACATGCTATCTATAACTGTCCTCTGTCGACCTGGTTTACTGAGAAAACTCTGCAGAACCTTTGAATGTCGAAGAGTTTCAGTTTGAAATCTGACACAATTTGCTGGAAATTTGCATTTGACTCTAATTTATTTAACGTGATGTATATTACTAAGAAGTAATATTCTGCGTATATGAGCGACGAGTGTACGGGGAGTGAATGGAAAAACATCACCATATAAAAAGGTCTGCAGCCTGTATTAAAAACAGTAAAAAAATGTGTTTTTGCAGAATTCTCCGAGATTCATTTCATGTCACACACAACCGGTCACTCCCTGCTTTTTTGCGTTGACTAAAGGGCAGAAAAGCAGATGGAGTTAGATACAAACCTGTTGCTAATTCTCTATCATTTTAATTTGTTTTTCTAGTTTGGTTAAAACAAGTTTGCTCATTTTTAAAGGTAAACTTGAAAATATATAATGACGCAAATGTATAATCATAACATTGGTCTTCCAAGTTTTGCATTACCCTTAAATACATATACATACAGTAGAAGTGTTTCAGTGTAGGCGCTATCTTCTACTACTCACTTGCATTAAGACAGAATTTTCCTCTCTGATTATTGTAGATTAAATTTTGTACCAAATTATATCCCTCTGGTAAAAGATGAAAAACCTAAACTGAGGCATGCTGGGCCGAGCTCTGTCCAAATCCTACCCAGTTACTTACACAGAGCAGAGAAAGACTATCATCGATCCAGTGTCTACAGTTAAGTTTATAGCCCCGAGGCTCTGACACAGTGCTATATTAGGACTCACAAATTGGAGTGGAAATTGCGAGATAATCAGTAGAAGATCTCCTGCGTCACATCTCCAGTGCATCGTAACTGAGTTTACCTTAGTCAGCGCTGCATGAGAGCCAAGTCCTTAACAGCTCCTGCATTGTCCAATAGTATTATTACATTATTACGAAAACTGACTGACGTCTTATCGAGTGCACGTTTGTTGCTGTTGTGGGACCGGAGCTTAAATTAAAGAAAAAAGCAGCACACGGTGTTCTCATAACTATGTTCTGCTGTCGTTAAAGTCTTGGACGTTTATCAAAAGACTTGCTTTTGGTAAATACATTTTTGGTGAATGTTTGTAAAGCCTGCTGAAGCAGAGTGTCTTAGTCCAAATGGTCCATAACACAATGTAAAAGCTCGTAGACAGACAAAAAAATAAAACCAAAGTAAAACTCTCAAGTAGTCATCTAAACATTCCTCGCTACCCTTGTACTCTGAATGTGAAAAATGTCGGTTCAAATTGACGTGCCAGTGGTTGGCATGCCTTCCCCAGCATGTGGGAACACCATATTCCTTTGAGACAATGTGTGATTAAAACAAGTCTCTCTTTGACTTCAAATGAAAAGCAGCGATGAGTTTCTAATTCAGCCAAATTTCATCATTTTATTCTATTGATTGCTAAATATAAGATTTGATATTGTGTGTCTCTAATGCCAAGATTTTAATGCTATTGATGCAATTTCAATGTAATTTCCCCTAAAAAAAACATTGGTCTTTTCAAAATTCATGTTTGGGTGAAGTAAAGGCTTTTCTCTTTGGCTTTTCTCTTTAGGCGCCTAAGTCAAAGACCTACAGCAGAGGAGCTGGAGCAGAGGAACATTCTCAAACGTAAGTCATGTCAGTGTCACAACCTCTTTGCTTTTTTAATTCATTCTAAAATAGGGTCAACAGAAATGTATAATATACCAAAAAATGTGTGACTAACTTTCTCCTGGAGATGATAAATCCAGAACCCTTTCCTGAGTGCATGCTTGATGTAGTACAGTCTGGTAATTTGAAATGCCTAGCGCCGTGAGTACTAGTGACACACATCGAATGTTTGCTTTTTCACGTAAAGCAGAGAGGTACCAGGACTCTCTGAGGAGCCTTGTCCAGAGAGACGAGGTTCGTAGCTCAAACATGTCTGCCATCGGAGGAGGGAGCAGCTCTTCTGCTTGCCTCTCCCACATGAAAGACTGCCTTACCAGCAGCGCTCCCGAGGGCTGTGTGTGATTGACAGAGTGCAGCGTAAAAACACCGAAGTCTTGACAAGTCGTGTCCTACCTGTCACTCAAACACATACCTTTTTAAGGTTAAATAAATAGGGCTTTGGCTAACGTACCATAGCACAGATGCAATTTGAAGCTGTAAAAACACGGAGCGGGATCTCAGAAATAAAACATCTTATTAACGCTCATCTGCCTCGTTCAGATGCAGGTTTTGACTTGTAATTGTCTTGGAATATATGGAGCGACAGATGGGTGAATTTTAATGAAATGCAATGTGAGAAATGTGGAAAATGGATGTTTATACGTAAATGGGTCAATCTGTTCATCATTAACATGCACCGGAAAGACGTGGCACAACTTGGGAAGAACAAAGCCTTCATTCTCCCCTGACACCCGTAGCTAATAGTATTAAATACCCGGTGGTGGAAAGTATTTTAAGCTCTGAGAAACTTGGTCTGTTTACTGGCACTTTAATGAGGCACATTATGAGCCATATTATGCAAATAGTGTGTTTTCTCCCTTTTTGGTGTTATTTTCTACATTTCATAAACAGTCCACTGTTTGTCCTCGCATTGAAAGTATTAACACAAATCATTGAATTCCGTCTCCCCTCCCCCCAGCTCGCAATGAACAAGAGGAGATGGAGGAGAAGAGGGAGATCAAACGCCGTCTGACACGAAAGGTGAGACTGAAAATGCATCCAAAGGTGCGAACGCGCAGCTGATCTTATCTAATGCCGAACTGAGAATCGGGATCAACAAACATCAGAGCCGTGACTAATCGAGTCTTGTGTGACATTCCAGGTCTCATGTCTCCCCCAGGGGACACTCTTGTCCTTGTTGTCCTTGCCCCTTCTGCATGTTAGCTGCCAAGACCTCGGACCACGCTGGGAGGTGTTGAGCACCTTCCTGTCGATTTTAATTACACAGTAACACTGTGCACTCACCAGCAGAGTTGTTATAAATAAACATTCCTGTTTGTTTTTCATGTTTTTATGTGCTTAAGTCTGTACGTTTCTTCGGGATAAAGAAAACTGCAGTTTTTATCAGTGCATGCAGTATTGTCCTATAAAGTTGTAGTAGCAGTATTACTGTTTTGCCAAGATTATTTTGGTTGCAATGATTTATCATCACTCATTTGTGGCTCTCTATAATACAAAGTTGATAAAACATGGCTCTTATGTAACCATTATGTCATAATTAGGGCTGATCTAATGTGTCTTCATGTGAATCACAAGTATTATCTTGGAGTGTGAATTCACCCACCATCAGAGAGCAGCTCAAGCGATGCGTTGACTGAAGCTTCACGGACGTAATCAATACACATTGTTATTTTAAGAGTTTGCAGCTGATGCTCGGTCGGTATATTTCCCTGCACTCACCAGCCGTGATCATGAGCTCCAACCCTTGACTCTTAGACTGCGAAATAATGGAACCTGCAAATAATAGAATTTCACACTAATATTTAACCATTTTATTTCCCTTTGCCTCTGTTGCAGCTAAGCCAAAGGCCCACTGTAGAGGAGCTGAGACAGGCCAAGATCCTCATTCGATTCAGTGACTACGTGGAAGTGTCAGACGCACAGGACTACGACAGGAGAGCAGATAAACCCTGGACCAGGCTCACAGCCGCTGATAAGGTCAGTCATCATTTTTATACTTTGGCTGTTTATATATATATATGTATATGTCACCCTAACCTAAGACCTACGACAGATGTAGCTGTGGTTCACCACTGTTGTTACATCAGGTTCCAGCTCATCGGTTTTTCACTTCCGTGTGTGAGTAAACACCCTGGAGCAGTCCTGCTGCTCGCTGCCCAGTCATCCCTGGCTCTGAGTTTTAATGATTGCCTGATTTTTGCAGAGTGTATAAACTCTGCTTCCTTTGGTTTGCTAATGTGCATCTCTGAACAAACAGGTCAGATCACACCTGATAACTTTTAATGCAATCAGAGGGATTCAGCTTATTATTATTATTATTATTATTATTATTATGCAACCGACTCCTCCCTTACATAAGAGAATAACCGGACGAAAAGTTCTGCAGGTTTTTCCCAGGTTTTTCCTTTGCAACATTGCTGCGCTAGCGTTTTTATTTGACCTGATCTCAAGCACATATTTGAATATTGTTTATTCTGCTGTCAGCTTTACCTGTCTGTATTTCTGTCATATATTCTCTTTTATATTAGAGAAGGAGGATGAAGTACAATAAGTCAAAGAGCAATTGGTGGAAAAACCAAGTATTAAATTAAAAAAGCTGTTTCTCAACATTCACGTGATATGGCAACGGGGGACAATTTAAAAAAAATCAGATGGAATGAGATCAAAACCTGGTCTCCATTCAAGTTTTGCTTTGAGTTGAGAGATGCTTATTTTCAAAGGACTGAAAAACCTGATCAAACAGAACTCAACGCAGTGGAAAAAAAAAAAAAAAGACAAAGACAAGATAAAACAGGTCAAAGCCATTGAAGACCCCCGAGAGATGTCTTCACATGTTTTTATTGATGACATGATTATTACATCTCTGTGTCTGACCTTTCTCACCTACAGTAGCATTGTATACAATACTGTTTCAATACAATACTGAATCACTCCCTCAAACATTTAGTTGTAAGATAACTTAATACCCACTGAGCCATAACCGCCCTTTAATTATAATGTGATTTCAAAGGTTCTCTGATGTAGTGTTTATTATGTATAGTGGGAGAGAGCAAAATCATATGTAATAATAATAATAGCAGGGTTACAGTAAATGTGGTTGAAACAAGTGTTTGTTAAAACTCAGAAACCAATAAAACAATGATAATGTTGTGTTTCTTTGTTGCCCCATGGGAGGCGACACGAGCAGTACGAGTGCAGAATTCATTTACGGGCCTTGAGATGAACATAAATCATGCATGAAGCATACTAAAAGGACAGAGTCGGGGCTTAGAGGCTCCAGTTTGCCTACTAAGCCTTTTCGCTTCTTCACTCAATCTCTCTTTCTTGTTGTTGCTCTGCAGGCGGCAATACGGAAGGAGCTCAACGATTTCAAGAGCAATGAAATGGAGGTGCACGAGTCAAGTCGCCATTTAACCAGGTAACAGCCGAGTCCATTCATCTGCCTGGACAGTTCTGTCATAATTTGATGAACAGTTTAACAGCTGGTGTAGCAATTCACGAAACGTGTTGCTACTGGTTTTCTGCAGATCTTCACATTTCTTAGCTATTGTTTAAAAGTCCTTTATTTATAGAAGAATTTTGGGGCCTGTGATAATGTTTACTTGTGAACATGAGATTAATGTTCATGTCACTCAGAAACAAAACAAACAAGATTGCCTTACTTGTTTGTCACATTCATTAAATAATTATTTATAATATTGTTTTTGAAATGTACTTATTTGTATTGATTGTATTTGTAATAATTTCATTAATTTAAATTATTAATTTCATAATCCAAATTAAATATAAATGGCTAGTACCCAGACGGTTCCCACCACTACTGTATTTCACTCTCAGAAGAGAAGATACATGCTCACATGTATGGTACCCTAACATAACCAGTGTTCTTTGTTCATCTGTTGTTTTTCAAACTGTTCTCTGTGTGTTTCCAGGTTCCATAGACCATAGTAGACCACCACTGTCTAGAGCAGCACTGCACCAGTGCTCTCCTCCACTGAGAACCTTAAGTGCTGGACAGTTAATCGTTTCTACAACAAGGCCATGTCTTCTGAAATGCCTTTTCCAAGACCCACACAACTGAGTCGGTACTCCTGTGCAACACAGGATGCAGACGCCCACTACTCCGACCATTGTAGTAGCACACAGTGACTCTGGTTGTGTAACATCGCCCCTCTGTGGACGTGGCTCCACTGTCTCTGCCCAACCTCTCTGCTGAGCTGAGCTCCCAGGCAGGCGCTCAGCTCTGCGGTGGTTCAGACAGCAGGAGAGTTTGTATCAACACACTGACACTGTTCTTTCCCTTCATTTCCTGACAACAGTGGACTTGTCTCAGTGGACATGTTTTTATCCTGCCTACAGTAATTATTATGCTGTCATAATGAACTCCTACAGCTCTTATATGCAGCTGTGTGTGAGGACACAGGGTTGATTGTTCACTCTATCATCAGGAGATCCATCTTTGCTGCACCTGCTGAGACTTTGAAACTGCTTAGGAAGATAGAGACGAGAGGGAGGGAGTGAGGAAGGGAGGGTGGAGTACAGGATTAGGATCACGTGCAATATGTTTTCTTTTCTGCTTCTCCGACACTATAGCAGCCCCTAGAGTCTGTCTCACTATCACATAGTCCCGACTTCTCTTCCCTCATACGTGCAATCCTGACAGTACTGACAATGTTAACGTTTAATTGCTAACTGTGAATTTGGGAGTTGGGGGCAGAGGTGCACCCTCTCTCCTGATGTACATTGTGTTTATACCATGAAAGAACGCGTGTTTTTAAAAAGAGAAAAATGCTCGATCCAGGTCCATTCATGACTGAATCTTGTGAATTTTATGTGAAAGATTGCAGCTGGCAGACATATTTCCGTTGCAGTCTATGCAACAATTTTGCTTTATATTACTCTGTCAGTTTCACGTTTTTAATAGAGGCGACACATTCATGTTTTACATGTTGCAGCTTTTGGATAGAGACAGAAAAACAAGGGATACATTTATATGTTCAATATCTCTTATGGTTTTCACCCACGTATGTAATGATGGTCAAGTCATGAATATGCTTTGTATTATACACTTTACTTTTGTATCATTTTTGACCAAGCAATATCTGCTATTGGTAAAGATTATATTGCAGGTATATGCCCATTTTTAACTGTGCTAACGCACTGTGTCTCTCACTTCAGGGTTTTCCTTTTATTTTATACTTTACATTAGGAAAGTGTTTTTCTTTTTCTGTAATTCCTCAACATAGTTGATTGAAATTAGTTTAAATTACTTTATTCAATTCTTCTAGAGAACTTTTATGAATTTTCAAAGCTAATATAGAATATATGTGGCTTCCATTTGTCAGGAGTTTTGAAGTTTTGTTGGCATACCTAGAGTTCTGGCTTTTGCCATTTGTCGCCATTTTAAATTCAGGGCCCAAAGGTGTACAAAGGTTTTAGAAATGATGATCCGTGACTGAATCTTTTCTTCTTTGACATTCAGGTTTCCGATCACTGATCATATACAAGATCCTGTGCCGATACACTTGCTGTATATTTTTAAAAATGATAGTCTTTTATCTTTAGTGTTAGTAGTGTTATAAAACCCATATTATATGAGATGAAAAAGCAGAAGTGGTGAAGACTGTTGGTTATTTATGGATGCATCTGACGGTAGAAGGAAAATAGTTCTCCCTACTAACATCAAGGACTCTAGTTGATTGGGACTTCCAGAAAACACTTTGTTTTGCACTTTATAGTTTGAATGTAAAGTAATGAGGGGTTGGGTGACGTCAACTAGTGCAAATGCCAGTCTAATGTCACACTAAGGCCCCTATTTCCTCTACTTTAGTTATTAAGCTCATCGTGTCCTTTTTTTGTTTTTACATTTTACAATTTTTACAAAATGAGTTCATTTTCAAATATTCAACCTGAGAATCCAGGCCAAGCATGATGTTTTCTATTTTTGCTGGAGTCAAGGAATATGAATTCAGCAATAATCTGTGGTTCCTTTTTATTTGTTGGGCGAGAAGATGAATACAATTGTTTTATTTTTGTTTTGTTATTCCATTTTTTGTAACAGGGAACATAAAGGATACATCATGCTAATTAAATTTCATTTCTAAATGCAACTGCAGTTTCATCTTTTTCTACAGCCTCAGCCTTTTTCAAGGTTGCAGAGGGAGTAGGAGCCAATCCCTGCAGTCAACAGGTGAGGACGAGGTTCAGCCTGCATTCACACTCCCACTCATACAAAAGTTCCATTTTAAGTCACTATATAATCTAATAGTGTGACTTTTGACTGTCAGAGGAACCTGTAGAAAACATGGGAGAACATCCAGACAGAAGGACCAGGAATGGAACCAGTGAACTTCTTTCTGGTAAGGACAGGCAGTTATCCTGTGAAGACAGAGAGATGGAGAAATATATTTAAACTGTATATATAATAGTAAATTAGGATACAACATTGATTCGTGACAAAAAGGAAAATTCAAATAATAATAATAAAAATAGACATTAAGATATTTCATCTGTTGGTTACAGAATAAATCATCCATCCATCCATCCATTTTCATCCGCTTATCCGTTACCGGGTCGCGGGGGCAGCTGTCGCCACCCAAATCACATTGCACCGTACCCAAACCTTCCTGCGGGTGGTGAGTCCACTGGAAGGTATTAACCGCCCTAACCGGGATTCGAACTTGTCCAGGAGGTGAACCCTGGGGTTCCACACCAATGACAGAGACATTGCCTCTGGGCCAAAGCGCCACTTAATATTTCACATTGCCAACAATAATGGAACTTCAGTGTGAGGTTTGATGAGATCCAATAGAGGGCGACAAATCCAAGAGAAAGCGCTCCTAGCCAAGAGGCGCTCTGTCCTTGTGAAATGGCGTCCTGATGAGATGCACAAGTTATTCGGCTTGTCGCCAGCCGTCTAAAATGACTTTAATGGAGTCTTCTTTATTATTTCGTGCTGTAAAAATTGAAGACCTGCAACAAGAAGCACCAAACTACAAAAAGTGCACATATTTTAACACTTATATGTGTTTTTATGTGTGTTTTTGTTTTGAGCGACTAACGGGACAGGTAAATAACCTATTCACGTGCATGCAATCGCATTGCATTGGAGATGACGTACCACCGCATCTGCAAACCAAACATTTATACGAGCTATGTTTACTCCTCTCACTTTTTCACCACCTATCTTGAGGAAAAGCACCATGGGTTATGTAGTTTTGTGGTCGAGCCTTCTCGCCGGTGCGGCCGACGGGGGATGTGCAGCATGCAATACACTTCCCACACCCCACTGCGTTGTTGTCAGCGTCCCCATCTTGTGTCCTCCTCATGAATATATATCAGCCAGTATTTGCGTAGGAGGTCGGCCGACGTTCATTTCATATTCCAGTACAGTATTCCGGTCCAAATGGAGCGCACATCCACGTCTCCGCCCTGCGCTGTCCCTGTGCGCCCTGCCTCCTTTCACTGAGTCTAATCTGCAAAATGTTTTTTTTCATACTTTTGTTGGAGCAGCGAAAGGGACTCTGACAGTGGCAGGACGGCGAGGAGTGAATGACTACTCGTGGGATAAGTCTGCAAAACCGCCCAGTCGGCGGACGTTTTGCACGGTGGACACGCATTCAGGCTTTTAAATGTAGCGACATAACCAAGTGAGCGCTGCTGTTTTTTCCAGTGAGGGACTTTTCATTTGCAGAGATGGAGAGTGTGCAGGCTCTCACTGACGGCGGCGCGTCGGATGGAGGCGCGGCGAAGTTAATGAAGAAGCCCAACGGAGTGTCTGTCGCCCCCGGGACTCTCGTAGATGATGGTGGTGGACTTTCGGCACCCTCCCGCGGAGAGTGCACGAACGGGAATAGCCCCCATCATTCCTCCACTCCAGCAGGAGCTAGTGCGTCAAAGCGAGCCGCTTCGTCTAATGGCCGGAGCTCGTCCAGCAACTCCAGCACCCTCCTGTTGAGACGGAGGCGCTTAAAGAGGAATCTCTCGGCCGCAGCTGCAACCGCCGCCGCCTCAGCTGTCACAGCCGCCTGCGGCTCTAAGATGAACTCGGCCCTGTCTTCTGCGTCCCTTCACACACGGAGTCTCGACAGGAAGACTCTGTTGAAGCAGCGGCAGAACATGCAGCTGCAGCCCGCCGATCGCGAGTGGGTGAGAGCCGATCTGCACCGGGGCTGCATACATGTCCACGACAGACTGACGCCCTCGCATCCCAGGCCGGTGCTTTGCAAAATGGACACCACGGCCGGCGAGGTGGCGCTCCGTATGGGTAAAGTCAGCAGTAAGTCCACCTCGGTTGTGCGCATCATTGGGAAAGAAAATTCAAAGACAGAGCAAAATGGCAGTAGAGAGTATGGATATGATGATAACGCATGTAAGGTGAGGGCAGACTCTTCTATGAAATGCAACCACAGGTCCCCTCTGGAGTCCACAGAGTTGAGGGACAATCCGAGCGACAGGTTGAGACTTCTGCTCATTGAGAATGCAGATGAGAGGACGAAGCAACAGGAGGTTGATGGAACACGTTTCACCCCTGATTCAGAGTCCCAGGACATCATCACCTGTTCCCTGTCAGATTTGAACTCCAACTTGGAAACCCCCAATGATGATGACTCAGAGCACAGGAATGGTGTGGACAGCTATGGGCTGAATTCAGGCTCAGATGTGGAGAGCAGCACCTTTGATGACCTGAGCTCTGGAGCGAGGCTGAGTGAGCACCGGGACTCCCTGAGTGATGACATGATCCTGGGCACAGAGGCGTCCATCCTCAGCCCCACTTTCGACAGTGCCACGGAAGGCCATGACATGTATGGCAGCTCCTCAGACGAGCTGGAGCTGGACTGTCCTGTGTCCAGCACGAGCATGGACGCCATCTCCCAACATCACGGCGGCGGAATCAACCCTGTCACTGCCAATTACAAACAGTGCAGTCTGGAACTTTTAAATGACATGGTAAACAGCGTGGGGCCGGAAAGCAGACTGAGCCTACACAGTCTGGGAAGCCTTCCAACCAGCAGTAGTGCGGGTTCACTCTCAACAGCCTGTTCTACAGGTAATACACCTGACATCCCAGATCCAGACTGTGGCCAAGTTCCTGCAGCGCCGGGGCCGGCAGAAGATCACAATGGAAATTCCTGTGATTCCAGCCCTACACTGTATATGCAGCTGCATGGTGAAGCTGTCAGGAGGCTAAGCCCAGATGAGCGGCCTCTGCAGATCCAAAATGAATTTCTTTTTAAGCTTGGATTTAAGGATCCATGCAGAGTTCAAGAGGAAGGACTTAACACAGAAATTGGCTCCTTATTACGTTTTTATGCAGGTAAGTTGGATATCCATTCAGTCGAGTCATAGTCTCTTATTGCTGGTTCAGCTGCTTTTTAAAAAAAACAAAACTTCACAATAATTAAAGTGCTATTACAACAGGTTTAGCAGTGTTTTGTGTTTGTTTATATATATATATATCTGGGAATGCTGAAAGTGAGACATTTGCTGATTACCGCAGCATCGATTTAGAGGGGTATCATTAAAGGTCTGCGATTACCACTAATGGTCTGACGGTGTGATGTCATGCGTGGTTGAGCAGTTCACTGGTCCGCATCGTCTCATCTTCACCTCCGTCCTCTCGTGTCTGTTTGTTTTTTTCTGGCCTTGACTGTATTATTTGGAGCACAGCAAACATGCATGACATTTTTATAAAGCAGTCACTGCTACTTATGGTCCTCAGATGGGGGGAGAGGGGGGTGGGCTAACCAGCTTTTGCCCCATTATCATCCTAATGAAAAAAACATCTTTCTAATGACAAAAGCTGAATGCCTTTGTGGTTGGATGGAGACTGGTGGTGGGAGCAGGATGGCTGGGAAGACCATAAACCCCCTCTGTGGTTCAGTGTGTTGTAGTCATTGAGATGCTGCACACTGCCTGTCCCATTGGCGTCCAGTGTGGCCTCTGTCACAGTAACTAACTGCATGCCAAGCTGGTTTATCATGGCTCCCCAAAGCTCAGGAAGCCCCTATTTCCCGCCGCCACTCGGCCTCCTTTTTTGCTGTTGCTGCTGAGTGGGTGGAGAGATAATCTGGTAACCACAGATGAAAAAACTTGTGGGTTTTTGTAGTGAAAAAAGAACAGTACCAAGAGCTACACTGTCACCAAGCGGCATCAGCTTCCTGTCCCGAGAGGCTGATGAACCACAGGTCACTCAATACAAAACCAAAATAGCTACATGTTTGTTCTGCTCACGTGCACAATCACATGTAACATCACATGCACCTTTGGCTACCAAGTGCAGGATTTTTTTTTTTTTTTAGAAAGTAAAATCTCGCTGCTTATTCATTTTCATCCTGAATGTCAGACTGAGCAGTGAGAACATCAGCAGAGCTGTATAGATTGATGTGCATTTAGGAGAAAATAATTAAATCCTTCATGCTGGTCCTGAGAGTGATGCCTCCAGATCCCATGTGAGATGGCTTAACAGAGGTCACCTGAGCTTTCACCCTGTAACTCCTCAGCCAATAATAGTCACGCTGAGCAGCCAGGCTGCTGCATGCACAAAAGCACAAATTCTCTTATGTGCCATAATGAAAAGGACAGTAAAGAACACATATCCACAAAGGAATTCTTTGTGAAAGGAAAGTAGAGCTTGTGCCCTTCCGGCATGTCTGGCCTGCTCTTCTACCATTTCCTTACACTAACCAAGCATGTATGCTCGCTCCTTCAGAATGTCAGGCACGTCTGCTCAGGAGGAATTGAATTGAGGAGGCGCCAGGGAAGGTAGGAATGGCGGGTGTGTGCACAGGGTGATACCGTAACGACACATGTTGAGCTGACTTTAAACGGTGGTCCTGCTCAGGCAGTTGAGATAGGACCAGCCTCAGCTGACTTGCTGGCTGACTCCCAGGCACAGCTGCCATAACTGTAGACCTCAGTCACACTGAGGGCCCATTTGTCCACACGCCCGTGCAGCCACAGTGTCCTTTGATAAGGAAGTCCATTATTTAACCCCTGTTTTATTGGGCCGTAAGTGCACTATGCTGATTTAATGGTAAACAAGATATTAAGTGCACAAGCAGTCGATGAAAGGGACTGCTTGTCTTAATAATTGAAGCTGATGAGGCATCAGCACTAAAGCACAATAAAGGAATCAGCACGGTGATGACCGTGGTGCATCCTGGGTTATTTCTTTATGAACAGCGATCGTCTCATTGGACCCATTTGGAGTCTCACATTTGTTAGCCTCTAGCAATTTTTTTTAAATACAATTTGTATTTCAATTATAATCAAAACGATGTTTGGCACATTACGCTGTGCACGTTGAAGACAAGTAAAGGATCTTTCTGTATGCAAATTTAACTGCTTCTTTTAATTTATTATTTCTATTTTGATTATATTCTAATTATATTATTATATTATTTTTAGTATAGTATATTGTTTGTTATTTTTTTGTTTGAGTTATTTTTTAAGGGATCCTTGAGGTCCACAGCATTGCTGCTTTAATGTACTTGTCACTTTGTTTTTGCAATATTTGAGTTGCTTTAATGTACTTGTCACTTTGTTTTATATATTTGAGCAGCAATATTTGAGCATTGTACTTAAGTAACCTTAGAGGAAGGTAAAGAGGAAAATCTCACATTTGCTGGTCATTATTTGCAGTTAATACAATGCACTTCCAGTGAGTCTGTGATTAATTTTGTGAAATAATTGTGATTTGAATATTGACCTTATAAATTATGAATATGATTTTTTTCCTCACAGTTGTGCAGCCATATTTTCCACCAGTAAAGGTGACATCAATAGTTCACCTGCACAAACTGGGAAATACTCTGTGAGCTTATGCTTAGAGACTGATTGCCACAAAAGTCACTGCCCTATAACACACACACACAGAGAGACATTTTCAGAAGGCTCCCTCTGTGGCCAGCTGCTCACATAGAAGTCACTTGTCATGCCTTAGGCTGCTTCATTATAAAGAGAAAGAGTTCTAAATAGGGCACTAACACCAACAATACTCTTTAATGAGTACATATTCTGTGTACATTCTGTTGCTGACCGGTCGAAAACACAATGGCTGCAATTACGTTGGTCCTCTTCAGACTGAGTGTTGACATGTTTTTCTAACTGTGGACACAGCAGTACTTCTAATAATCCAAGAGTGTAGAGTACAGGTCAGAATGGCTAAGACTCACAACATTTACTGTTACTGTGACTTCACTTAATTCTGAGCCTTCTATAATAAAGTGTTCTCTGACAGACTGAGTTGTTTTTGTGGAAAATAATGCTTTCACCTGACAAGACTGGCAGAGCTTTTTTTTTTTTTTTTGTAAGGTGGAGGACATGAAGTTCTTAGACGGATCAAAGCAGTGCAGTAAATTATTCTGATTCATTAACCCACTCAGCTTCGCAAACACTCTTCCTCCGCATACTTTAGCAAATCTGCAGCTTCTTTGTGAACTCTCCAGGACCCACCCTTTAAACATGGCTTTATTTGCTTTTTTAAAGCCACTTCTTGTAAATCATGAGTGTCGGTGAAAGAGTTGACCTTGTTAATGACAGAAATTAATGGCCGCTGGTGCAAGTCGGCCTAGAAGCCGTCAATTTATTATTCTTTTCAGCTCCACGTACTTTTACAGCTCGGGTTTCTTTGAAAAGAAGCCAGCCTCAGTAACAGTTTTAGTATGCTGCACCCAATTTTTAGGTAATTCCCATGTTGGTTCCAGCTTTTTTTGCCAGCAAGGTGAACTTAGCAAGAGGACAGCTGTTCATGCAGAACTAATAAAAGCAGAGATGTGCAGTGAAATGTAACAGATAATGGATTTATTTTTACACAGAAACGGTCCAATGCACATGCAGTTTCATGCAGTTCTGATCTGTAATGTTTGTGTTCAGCTCTGTAATGACTTTGCACTCTAAACCTTTAATCGGTTTATTTATCAATTTTCTACTTGTTTTTTCAATGCTTGTGTGAAATATTAATTTATGGTGTCTCCATAATTACTGTCACTTAGCTTTTATTGAATCTAAAGTATCACTCACCTCTCGGAGTCCCATCTTTTACAGTCAAGAGTATTGTGACCAGGTGTATTTATTTTTGCTCCAAAACTGGCAGTAGTAGTATCACTAGCTTTTTACTAACTGACAATATACGTTATACCTCTCTGAAACTTTACCAGATGTTTTACATTACTACAGGTTTTAAGAAGAGTTAAATAATTATGTTTTCTTCATATTAAAATCATTTTATTGAAAACAAACAAAAAACAGCTGATACAAACACACCTGGTTACAATTCCTAGGAAGACAGAAGTTCACCGTCTAAACAGGTGGTGTGTCGGACTACTTCCGCAACCGAGACCTGTTGCAGCTCCTATTTCACTCGTTGTCTGTTGTCAAGGCCATGTGACAAAGGAAAAAAAATCTTGATTCCACTAGTAAGTTAACGAAAGTATAAAATGATCTTCATCACTGTACTTAACACTAAGTAGCACATTTACTTTGTACTAGTTGCATATATTAGATAAGGAGTAACCGTATTTTACTGTAGACTGTTTTAGGAATACTCCAAGGAGGAGGACGCTGCTGACGTGATGACTGTCACGGCTCTGCGAGGTTTAAAGGCTTAATGAAGCGATCTCCAGCAGGCTCTCTGCCTGGTATGAGCAGAGAGTCACTCTCCCCTCTTTAATGTCTGAGCCTTGTTGCTGTCACTGTGGAGTCAGCGTGCCAGATTGCCCCAATACTCTTTCCTGCATTTTTATAAAATCCATTAAAAAAGCAGAAGGGAGAACAATCTGTGTTGTTTATTTATTCATTTTTAGTTCATTTTTTAAAAGAACAGCTGCTGGCTTTTCTTCTAAAAATATAAGAGACCCTCAAATAAGTTATTGCAATTTGTTTTGCAAAAACAAAAGAAAAGAAAAACCTCCATGGAGTCGTATGGAATCATTCATCGCAATTCTCAACATTTAGTTTGAATCTAAAGACAATGACTTTAGCAGAGCTAAAACGACTCCATTCATATGAATGATCAGCCGCCTCATTTCTCACATCCGCTGAATGTTCTCATCTGTTAACTAATGGTCTCTCTGAATGGCGTGTTGCCAAGTCATTATGTAACAATGTCATCAGGTTTCACACATTCCAGAACTTCAATCCGTCTTGCGTCCAATGTGTCTTTGTGCACTTTTGGGTTTTTGCCTTTACAGCACTTTAAAGTAAAGAGATTCATCCCATTAGCCCAGGGAACTGTTTTATTCTGTTTGTCCTGCTGGTGGATGTCTTCCCACTCTCTTCTTCTCTCCTCCTGTGTCTTCTTCCCTCCCTCAGTTT